CAAGGGGTGGGGATGTAGCTCAGTTGTACAGCACGTAGTGAGCACACACAAGCCCTGGGTTCCATCGCCAGTACCACCGAAGAGGACACGGAAGAAGGGGACACAGGCAATGAAGGGAGGGAGGTGTGGAAATGTCGGTTCTGAGTGATCTGAGTGTTCTGCTAAGCCCTGAGCAGGATTAGTTGGTTGGTGGAACTGAACCAACAGGTTTTACAATTTGTGTGGAAATGCCCGAGGCCAAGGGTAGTCAGGCTGCCTGGAAGGACAAAAGAGGGGACTTGTTCTGGACTCGGCCTTCCCTACAGGTGCAGTCACTGAGACAGTGAGGCACTGTCCTGACAGTAGAGAGCCTAGCTGAGAGGCAGAGGTGGTGCCCTGGAAGAGGGGTAGGAAGCTCTTTTCAGCAAGGGTTCTGTGTGAAAATAGGTGAAACTTGAACAGTGCTTCATCTAGGGCTGCTGCCTGAGGTCCGGGGGCCTTCAGGTGGCATGCTGTGTTCCACCATGTGTGCAAATACCATTTCTGAGTATAAAAGGAACAACCCTCCACACATCCTGTCTAAAGAGGATTACAAGTAACCTTAGCAAAAGGAAAGTGTCCCTAAATGGGATGTTCAAAAGCACTGACTGTAACAAACACCGATGGATAGGCCGTATCAAAATGAGAGTCTGGGCCAGGGAGATAGCTCAGCAGCATGAGCGCCTGCCTTGCAAGTGCAGGGTCCCGAGTTTGATCCCCAGTACCACACACACACACACAGCATCTGTGTGACATGAGGGAATGAGAAGATAGAGAAGGCGCAGAGATCTCAGTGGAGTAAATGGGGATCAGACCCTGAGTTGCTCCTCAGGCCACAGTGAACAGAAAGGCTAAGACCAATAGACCCTTCCCAGAGACAGACTTGAGTGGTGGCTCCTCTGGGCACAATACACTGCAGCCTGTGTTTAGTTTTCCACTTTATGTTCTAGAAGATCTCAGCTCAGTGCTAAGGCAGTCATGGTTAATGGTTAAGAGCATGGCTGCTGCCACTGGCCTTTATTTACATGTTAACCCTTCTACTGGAGGAAGTTCCTTATTCTCTCAGTGCTTCAGTGTTCCCACTCTAACAAGGCACATAATGATAATTGGTAGCTCAACAGGGTTTTTCTTAGGATTAAATGAAGTACATGCATTGGAGAAACATGTAAAAACTGGTCTGGCACCTACAGAGTCTCTGCAGGCAGGAAGTGATGGCAGGGTCCTAGTGGGGGGGGGGGGGGGGGGGGGGCTGGGCTGGCCCTAGCTCAGTCTTTAAGTGGCTGCTTCCACAAAGCTGTCAGTCTCAGGTTCCTGGAGTTCGAACCTCACAACTCTCCCGCTGGCCAAAAGTGCCCTGAAGGCATTCGAGGAAGGAAAAAACAACAACAACAACAACAAAAAAAAACAAAACCCTTATTCCCTAGTGGTGGGCGGCAGCCTCAGAAAGAGTGCTTATTCCAGTTTCAACAATGAGGGAAAAACCACATCCTGCTCTGGTTACTGACATTGCTCACTACCTTTGAGTAGCTCCATGGATGGTGTCCTGCCCCTCAGCATGGAGTCTGAGTTACCTAGCTAGGCTGGACTCAAATTGAGTCTGCCCTCCTCAGCTTCCCAAGTAGCTGGGGTTGCAGGCATGTACTACCATACCCAATTGGGAATTGGTGTCAAGAGAAATGGCTACCACTGTGCGAGTGTCAGATGTGTAGCAAACAACTTCCTTTTGTTTCTGCTAATCCTCATATAGCCCTGTGAGGAAAACATGCTCTTCCCCATTTGATTGAGAGGTTGGTGCTTTCTCCAGAGCTGCTGCAGGTCCTACACATCTGTGTAAGGCAGGTTCTGGCCCTCCTGAGCTGTCTCTGCAAGGCAGAACCAATAGAAGGGGACAAGAGAGACTGAGATGCTGTGGGGGAGGGGCAGGGCTGCTGCAGTGCCCTTGAAGCAGGCGGTGCAAGGCTCAGGAGCTCCTGTGTGAGAGCTCTACTTGGGTGCTGGGACCTGCACTCAAGGCCCAACAGGATGGCATTACTCTGTCAGATTTGCTTGCAGGTTTTCTAGTGCTGTGATGGCATCCGAGTTTATATGGTGCAGTCCATGTGCTAGTGGACTTCCAACATGGGTTGGAAGGGAATAGAGAAGACACAGGAACAGTGCTCCAGCCGGGTGCAGCTTGAGGCGCTGGGACCTTTGGGGGTTATGCTGTTTCCCCTGCACTGGAAGCTATGAAGCTGAGCTGGGAACGCAAGCCTGGAGAAATGAAGGGGTTTTGGTCAGACCCGGGGTGCTCTGATTTGGAAGCCTGAGGTTCCCACAGCCCTAGGCTTTCTCTATGGACATTTTCATGTTCGTCCTCTTTTGCTCGGTACATGGTGGGTACATCCTTAGTTTTTCCCATCACTGTCTGCTTTTCACACCTTGTCTCGGGGTCCTCTACAGGACTCTGGATTTGTTTGCTGTTCTCATTGCACAGTTCACTGAGATCCCAGTAAACCTGCTGAGAGGGTTCAGAAGGAAATGTGGAGTTCTTAACCGTTACCACTCACAGGCACAGCAGCAGGGCAGAGCTTCCAAGGGCATTGGGTGCAGCATGCTTTTTACAGTTCTACCAAAAAAGATTGTCTTCCTAATTCTGCTTTACCGAGATTAAAGTCATACACTCTTGAGGAATATTAAGTCGAGAGGTGAATACTTTGTGGGAAGGGACAGGTTGAGATTAAACTGAGCTCCGATAGTGCCCAAGAGGATGGGTGTCGTGGCACTAGCTATAACTTGAGTCATAGCAACACAGGATACCAGTTGGGGAGGCTTAGCCCTCGCTTTCTCCTCCTGGATGAGTCCTGTACTGATTTGCAAGTAAGTGTCACGTCACTGAGCACAGCCCTGGACTGAGGGAAGGGGTGTGGAGGGGTCCTCACCCCTGCTCTGCCCTGTGTGGCTCTGGCAGGTAGCTTCCTTTTGCTGGGTATTCTTGTCCCCTGGCCATGGAACACATGTGGTGGTGTTGGCAACTTAAGTGTGTCTTCATTTTGCTCCTCTGATGCAATGATGCAGCTCTTGGCCCTGAAAGTTGGCCATTGTACTGAGCCTCTCCTTGGTCCTGGCACTTAGCAGGCTCTCCGTAGATCTTGTGCAGAACTATCTTCCATTAGCGTATGAGCCGCACTACCCAGCCCAGCCATGAGATCCTCCGCCTGAGCCTGAGTATTGTGAGGGCCAGTGTGCGCCTGCTCTTCCTTACAGCTGCTTTGGGATCTCACTGGCATCCCAGCAGTGGCTGGCTTGGGCCATTTTGAGACTCACATGTGGAAAAGGTTGTGGTGTACCTGAAGAAGAGACAGCTTCTTTGGGTAGGAGACCTCCCTGCTGCTGCAGATGTGAACAGGGTTAACCGGGGAGGACCCTCGCTGATAGTGTAGGAGTTCATAGGAATGGGAATGATGTGAAACGCAACAGCAGGGCCCTGGCCAAGTAGCCTTTTGGAGACCCTAGCAGTTTGATTGTGGGGTCCCTGCCAAGTGCACTCTTGTTGAGGTCTGTCTGTGCTCAGAGCCTGTTGTTAGGCCTAACTGTCCCCTTTCTGCCTCTGTAGCCTGAGTGGTTTAGAGCATGTGGTTTGGGGGTGCTCACTAGGACGGCCCCATGTCCACTGGACTAACTCCTGCAACCAGCAGTTAAATTTACATGATAGGAACCTGACTGACTAAATCTGAGATTGTTTTTTTGAAAAATATTTTGATGTAGTGGAAAGAATTTTATCTTAGCAAGTAGGCAGAGTTCATGTAAAATGCTCACCTCCACCCCTTGTTACTTGCTTGCTGTTGGCCTGTTATTTAACATCCCAGAGCATCTGCTTTCTCAACCATAAAGTAAAAACAAATTGTGATCGTAATACTAATTACTTCATAATGATAATGATGGCAGTAATAAGTTCATTATTGTTGACTGTGGACCAAGTTTTGTTTTAGGCCCTTCGCAGGTGCTTGGCTCTTCTGTGAGAAGTAGTTTCCTTTACTAAAGAAGTGAGCTCCGCTGTGTATCTTTTATAGACAAGGCAGTTGAGGCCTGGAGAAGGTAGGTCATATGCCCACAGTTGCTCAGCTAGTGAGTAGCAGATGCAGGATCTCAGCCCTGGTGGCCTAATTGTAAGTGACTCTACACTGTCTGTCACACTGTCTGCCAGGTGGCTGTGAGGACTGATGGTGACATAAGAAGTACCCAGCACACTCAGGGATTCAGGAAGGCCTGGTGGAATGTCACAGCCTAGCCTTTGTAACCCCGAGAAGCTAAGGCCTTGGCCGGCTGTGATGGGGTGAGGGCAAGAGGCAGGCTGCAGGGAAAGAAGGTTGAGGCAACAGTCTCATCCAGGCTGGGCTGTGGACAGGCCTGGAGGGGAAGTGATCACGGCTTTACCCTGGCCTGGACTGCAGCTTACTGACTGCTGCTCAGAACTGAATGGAGTGTCTTTCTCTTTGTGGCTGAGGTGTGTCTGGCAAGATGGGGGGTGCCCACCACAAGCAGACTGTGATGGGCACCCTGGAGGGTGGGCTTTGGGGATGAAAGGTGGGAGCACTGCCTGCACTCTCTTGTCCTCAGGGGATGGGGAAGTGACTCAGGGTAGGGTAGCAGTGCTTTGAGTTTTTCAGGAAGGTGGTGAGTTTCCTTGGTAATAATGGAATATACATCAGTGCCAGCCAGAGCTGATCCGTTTATTGCTTCCTTCAACTTGAAGGAAACATTTTAGACCCTCTGTGTGGAAAGCAGAGATAGAAATGGGAAGTTCTTTGAGGGGAGTGACTTGCCTTTTGAGCCTTAGAAATGTAGCCTGGTGGGCCAGGGAGATGGCTCAGTCGAATAAGCGCTTGCTTGGCAAGCACAAGGGTCTGAGTTCAATCCCCGGTTCTGGGAAAAAAAAAAAAAAAAAAAAAGTGGTTGCAGGAAATGTAGCCTGTTTTGTTTTTTGTTTTTTTTTTCTCTCCTAGGTCTGTCTGCGGATTCTGAGCATCTGGAGTGGACCCTTGAGCCTTAGCATTTGCTGTTGCCCCACTCTTTGGCGAGATGTCTGTCACTTACGATGATTCCGTTGGAGTAGAAGTGTGCAGCGACAGCTTCTGGGAGGTAATGCTCACCTCTTCTGCAGAATGCAGAGTCCAGGCTGATGGTGCCTGATGGGCTTTGTCTTCCTGGTGGAGATGAGGGGCAAGACAAACATACCTGCAACCCACCAGATGCTTACTGTCATATTTCGAAGGCGGCCGAGGAGAGGTGGCACTGCATGCAGCCAACCCAGGTGTGCGCTCACCTTCATGAGAGTGGTAGTGTAGGCTTCCCTTGCTGCTTACAGAGGTTAGAGGTCATCCCGTCTGCCCATTCTCAGATGTCTGTCTTCACATTTAGCCACTGTGTACCTGGGAGCAACATGAGAAATACTGGGCTCAGCCTGAGAGGCAGCTCTGCTCTTAGCTCTTGCATGGGATCCCTGGCAGGTGTGCTGTGACACCCTCTGTACAGTGTGGACGGCTACCCACAGAGCCTTAGCATCTGCCCATAGGCTGCAGAGCTCCTGCTTGCTAATGGAAGTCGTTCCTCATGAGCCTCACTCTCTTCTTGCCAACTGCTTAAAGGAAAGGCAAGTTTTGATCAGGTTTTATCACCACGGCAAAACCACTGGCACTTTCTGCCAGTAGTGGGCTGTATGGAAAGAATGCTTCTTTGCAGTTGGAAAGATCTGTGCTGTGGTCCCAGCCATGCAGTCAGCTAGCTGTGTGACCATGGGCAGATGTTCAGCCCCTTTACAGGTACAGGGGGCTAACAGCCTCAGCAGAAGCTGCTGGAGTAGGTGACAGTGTAGCTATTGGTGCCCTAAGGTGCCTTCCTGAAACAGGAGACTCCAGTGATGAATGAGGAGAGGAAACATCCTAGTGTTTGTCAGGGAGTGGCCGGAAGTAGTTTGCCAAGACTAATTAGATGTATGATTTTGTTTGAAGTCAAACACCATCTGCTCTTGCAATTTAAAGGAGACAAGTGGCCAGGTGTGGTGGCAAAAGCCTGTAATCCCAGCACTTGAGAGGCTGGAGGATCGCCCTAAGTTCAAAGCCAGCCTGGGCCACAGAGTGAGTTCAAAGCTAGCCTGGAATACGTAACAAGACCCTGACTCAAAAAAATGAGACAAGCAATCACAGTCATGGAGCAAATACCCAAGCTTCAAAAAGATGGGCCAAAAAAAGGGAGGGGGCAAAAGCCAGGGATGGTGGTGCACACCTTAATTCCAACACTCGGGAGACTGAGCCAGGAGGACTGTTGCAAGTTCGAGGCCAGCCTGGTCTGCAAAGTGAGCTCCAGTCCAGCCTGAGCTGCATAGCAAGACCCTGTCTCAAAAAGAAAAAAAAAAAGATGGGCAAGAGGCTCAAACTTCCATCAAGGTCTTTTCTTTCCTGTTTTCTATGTGAAAAGGTCATTGTTTGACTTAGAGATGAATACTTTATTCCATTAAAAATGTACTTAGCTGGGTGTGGTTGCCCTTTAGTCCTAGTGTACAGGGCGCTGAGGCAGGAGGTTCATTCGAGCCCAGGGCTGGAGGCCACCATGGACCACGCAGCATGACCTGTACTGGAAAAGCAACCACATTTTATTGAGCAGCTGCTGTGTGCTGGACCCTGGGAGGACAGAATCAGGAATGAGGAGGCTGAGCCCCTGGCGTGCGGCGCTGCTACTGTGGGAGCAGAATGAGCGGACGTGCAGGGGCGCGGGTGCTGTCTTTCTGCCTGGCTGGCAGCAGCCTCCCTGCGCAGCTAGATTGCCGTGCGGATCAGCGGCAGAAGTGCCTGCCTGGCAAGTGCAAGGGCCTGAGTTCAGTCTCGGGTTCTGCCAAAAGAAGAAAAAAAAATAGCTTGCCGTGCAGCTCCATATGCTCTCCAAACTCAGCCCGGGGACACAGCACACAGGCCTGTCTGTGCCTGCTGCAAGATCATACATGACTGCAGCTCTACTTCTTTTTTTGCAAAATGACAAGCCTGGTGACTGTGTTGTCACCCATAGGCTTGGATTGCAGGTGACTATGCAGGTATCTCAGGTAGCGTTGCCAGCAGCGTGCTGGGGAAAACATAGCGTGCTCCTTAGTGTACCTCTCTCTCTCTCTCTCTCTTTTTTTTTTTTAATTTTTTATTTATTTATTTATGTGTGTGCGTGTGTGTGTGCATGCGTGCGTGGCCAGCTCAGCCCACCAGGGGGCGAGGCTGGCTGGCATGTGGTGCTGGGGGATTGAACCGCGGTCCCTGTGTTTTGCTTAGCTTAGCTTGTTCTAAGTAGGTGCTTTAGACCACTGAGCCATCTCACCAGCCCCATTGTGTACCTCTCTTGTGAGGGGTCTGTGTTAGATGAAATCTGGTGTGGTGCCTCCTGCCCTGAGACTCCCTACTGCAAGAAGACTGGAAGGCAGAGTGAGATAGACAGTGTCCGGAAGGGCACGTGCAGCCCCGAGGCTGTGCCTGTCCAGTCTCACAGGGATGCCTAATGGTGCCAAGGTGTGTGCCAGCGTTGGGAATGCAGGCACTGCTGCAACAGGGACAAAACAGCCAGGGGAGCCTGTGTGGAGCAAAGCAGCAGAGCATGGCATCAGAGAGGGTGCTGAGGGTAGCAGAGCTAGTCCCTGTCTTGGCTCCCCTGCTTCCCATTCACTCGGCCTCCTCTCGGGCTTCCTCTCGGCATCTCATAAATTGTATCCCTTCTTTATGCACCAGCACCTGTATTTACCTGAACGAAGGCTACATTGTCATGTTTCTTTCTAGTTTGCAGTGTGTACATACTCCCCATGGTCCCCACAGTTCCTTGTGCAAGGGTGTAGCCTCCTAGGGAACATTTCTATGGGGTAGCGGTCAGCAAATTGCTGGCTGATGGTTAGGGCTGAGTTAGGAAGTGTCTGCCACAGGCTCACATTTTGAAGGGTAGTTTCCCAGTGTCTGAGTAAGGGCTTTTGAAAGTAATTGGATCATGAGATCTCTAACATTGGGTTTAGCCATGGATGAATTCGTACTTGACAGCATCACTGGGGGTGTTGGAACCCTAGGAGGTGGGGTCCCACTGAGGGAGTGAGTCATGGGGTTGTACCTTATCCCTGCCCCCTTCTCATCACCTGTCACTGTTTGGGGTTGGGGAGATGGCTCAGTGGAATAAGCGCTTCCCTGGCAAGTACAAGGGCCTGAGTTCAATCCTCGGTTCTGCCAGAAAAAAATAAAATAAAATAAAAAATAAAAGCAAACTTTTGGGCTGGGGAGATAGCTCAGTAGAATAAGCACTTGCCTGGCAAGTGCAAGGTCCTGAGTTCAATCCCCGGTACCACAAAGACAAACAAAAACAAAAAAGAAAGTTATTTGACCTGTCACTGTTTGCAGGCTGCTGTGAGTGGAAGGGCTGTGCTGCTCTCTCTCTCTCTGCTGTGACGCTTTGTCTGGCTACAGGCCTGAAAGCAGTGGAACCAGGTGACCTTAGACCAACATTTGTGAGGCCATGAGCCAGAGTAAACCTTTCACCTTTGCGCTGATGTTCCCACAGGTTTCCTTACCGTGATAGAAAGCTGACCACACAGTCGCCACAGGGCACAGTATGGCCTCAAGCGTGTGTGGTCCCCAGGTGCTCAGGGCAGCCTTGCAGATTTCAGCAATTCCCCTGAAATAGGAACCCCAGCTCCTGGGTATGCTGATGACCTGCAGCAACGTGGAACTTGTGAGGGAATGTCTTTTTCCAGAAATCCAGTCAGAAGCCAGGAGTTTTCTGGGGGGCCAGGATACCTTTTTGACAGTGCTCAGCAATCTGACCATCTGTCAGGACAGGGAAGGCAAACACCCACCCTGGGTCAGTGTCATTGCCACCACTGTCAAAGGTGAACAAGGTCTATGATTGCCTGGCTCCTCCTGCTGCCAGCTCACAGTCCTGAGCACTTGCTCTCTCTGGCAGTGGGTGGAAAAGTGCTCAACATGGCCCTGCGGAGAGGGGCTTCTCAGTGCGGAGCCCAGCTCAACATCAGCCCTGTGTGCTGAGGAGCTGCCCACCTGCCAGCCTGCTGAGGAGAGGAGGACTTGAGCAGTTGCAGCCTCATGGTCTGTGGGGGTCCCTGCTGATGCGCAGGATTCATGATACTGTAGGAGGGGTCATCACCTCAGTCCGTCCAGCTCTGAGCTCAAGGACGATGGCTCCTCCTTGTAGCAGCACAGCCCTCTTCTCTGCCCTTGGTGTGCATACAGGGTTCATGTGTTTGTCCCTTCGCAAGGTCTTGCTCCTGCCATCTTCCCAACAGCTTCTTACCCTCCTCCCTCCTCACCTGGCTCCTCGGCTCAGATCGGAGAGACATGAGCATGTCCTTGGCTGCATTGTAAAAGGGAGGCAGCGGCACTAAAGCAGGCACATGTTCATGTGACCTCAAGGAACCTCCAGACTGAGGAGTCCAGGCAGAGAAAGTGCTGGGTTAGCCAGGGAGAAGGAGCAGGAAAAGGCAGTTAGATGGTGGCTGCTATTTTTGGAGAAAGTTGAAGAAAAAGGAAGATGGAATAATAGACCTTCTCCCCGTCCTGTTTCCAGTGGTGTGCGGAGACACCTTCAGTCAGCTACTCAAAGGCTGAAGCAGCGAGCATTTGCTTCTCACTCCAATTGCCCTAGTACGTTCTCGGTGATTCTCATTATTTCTAGGTTTGGTTAGCTGCTTTCTCCTTTCATGTGTGAAAAAAAGGGAAAACTCACCTTGCCTTCTTGGATGTCACCAGCTCTGGGAAGCTGGTGCTGGCTGCCCTACCTGCATGTGAGGCTCTGCCTCTGAGTGTGGGCGGGCCTTGCACAGGAGCCCGGGCAAGCTGCCGCTCTCTGCAGAGCTGCCACAGGACAGCTGCCCTAGCATCTGCCTCACAGCATCACCGTGTCTCCTAGGTCGGGAACTACAAGCGAACTGTGAAGAGGATTGACGATGGCCACCGCCTGTGCAGTGACCTCATGAACTGCCTCCATGAGCGCGCGCGCATCGAGAAGGCATACGCGCAGCAGCTCACCGAGTGGGCCCGGCGCTGGAGGCAGCTTGTGGAGAAGGGTAGGCACAGCCTGGGCACAGGCTCCACCATGTACCTGCAGGGCTGCCGGCCGGCTTCCTCTCCTGTGCAGTGTGGGCAGCTGCATCTCATGCGTGTGAGGGCTGTGGTTTCAGCACAGGCCCACAGGGTGCCCATCACCTAGCTGGCTCAGACCATACGAACTTCTGTTGCATCTCCTTGGGGACACCAGACTCCTCTTTTCACAGCCTTTGCGTCTTCTGTTCTGGCCTTGTCATCCTTAGAACACACTTAGGCATTCGGGCTGACCTGGAACAGGAAAATAACCACTAAGGGCTGACCCATGATTTAAGTCCTGTAGGTGGAAAGACCTTGCTGGTCAGCACCTTGACCAGCAAGGCCCTGTAGCAGATTAGGTAACACTGGGTAGTGACAGTGGGCGTGCCTGCAAATGTTCCCTGGTGGAGGCTTTCCTCCCTCTAGAGAAGCTCAGGGCTGGGGCTTCCACAGAGGCCTTTGTGGAGGTCATACTTGCCCACCTCAGGGAACTGGGTGGTGGGATTTCCTGGGCAGGGAGCTCCTGTGAATGTTCAGGGTTGGCTGCTGACCCCAGAGGAGCCACACAGGGAAGCCAGGTCCCAGGTGAGATCAGCAGAAGCTGCCCATCCTATCCCCGGATGCTGAAGCAGGCGCAGGAGGGGCCCAAGTGCAGCCCCACTACAATGTGGTGGCCTTAGCTGGGAAGCTGCCTGGGTAAAGAGCAGAGGGACAGGCTCCTCCTTCAACTGATAGTCTCTGTCACCTTTGCCTGCTCATCCTGTGGGTGTGTCCATATCAGCACTGACCAAGGGAGGCCACAGAGCATAAGCACTTTGTAATCTCAGTGCATTGAGAGTTCGTGGATCATACTTCTGCTGATCCTCCGCCTGAGTCTTGCATCCCACTCCAGTCGCCATTACTCAGCTTGGTGACTCCCATTCCTGTGAACAGCTCAGAGTCCCAAGCTGAGTCTCATTTTCACCATTGGCTTTGTCATAGCTTTTGCCACCCCTTTCTCTTAAATGTCAGCGAAGATTAAGGATTGCTTTTGGAGCCTTGTGGCCTGGGACTGTAAGCAGGGAGTGAGGTGACTGCACTCCCACCCTGCTCACCGGGGACTTGCACATGCACAACCTCCCAGTAGGTTTCCTCGTCCCCTTCCTCAACCTGCACAGCTTCCCTGGACCTTGGCTGAGTGGATGGAAGCAGCCCAGCTGCAGGTCCCAGCACTGGGCTGGCAGAGATGGCTGAGAGCCGAGCCAACGGGGGCTGTGTTAGCAGCCTAGAAGCGAGAGGGCAGCTTGGCTCCCGCTCTCTGGCCATCGCCAACACTTTAGGGCTCTCAATACGCAGAGATTTCAGTGTCAGAGCTCAGTGCTTAAATACAGGAAGTATGTGTGGCTCAGGTTGCTCCATTCAAATGACTGGGCTTGACAGGAAATCCCTGCCTTTGCCAGGTGTTAGTAACCAGCTTCTTCTCTTGGGTCAGGGCCACAGTATGGGACAGTGGAGAAGGCCTGGGTGTCCTTCATGTCCGAGGCAGAGAGGGTCAGCGAGCTGCACCTGGATGTAAAGGCTTCGCTTATGAATGAGGACTTTGAGAAGATTAAGAACTGGCAGAAGGAAGCCTTTCACAAGCAGATGATGGGAGGCTTCAAGGAGACCAAGGAAGCGGAGGACAGCTTCCGCAAAGCCCAGAAGCCCTGGGCCAAGAAGCTGAAAGAGGTACCTTCCGCCATGGGCCACTGCCTAGCCGGGCTTCCCCTCTGCCGACCACCCCTAGCGTACTCCCTCCAGTGCTGGGCCCCAGGACCTCCTGTGGCTGTCACACCTGGTAGAGGGACAGCTGCCCCTCAAGCCAGGAGCCCTGTGCAAAAGCGCCTTTGGTGCATTTTTTTCCATTTAACCCTCAACAGCCCATCTTAGAGACAGGACTCAGGGTCACACTGCTCAGTGGTGAGGAGTGCAGAACTCAACTCTCGTCTCTGTGCTTCCCCTGCTGGACACCTGGCCATCAGTCCTATCAGTCCCTTTGGACTCGTAGCACACATTCAGTTTGTTCTCTCTCGCATGGATTTTCTCCCCAGTTTGCCAAAGATGCTGCTACTCCTTTTTCTAAAAGTTAGGCAGTGACTGGGTCCAGTCAGGACCTGGCTAGCTGGAGGCTGTCCTTTCACCATCCCAGCTCCCAGGCTGTGCACTGCCCCTGCCTGCACCCTGCCCACTGCTCCCTAGACACACTCTTCCCCGACCAGGCTTGACCCAGAGCAGCTGTGCCATCCTCAGAGTCACCCAGAACTTGTCTCCATCCTTGGATTGCTACAGACTTCCCTTACATCTTGCATTTTGCCATCTCGCCTTTCTTTCTTTCCTTGCCTGGGACCCAATAGTAATTAAACTTTTCTTCACTTCAAGAGGTGGTCGGTCGGTCGGTCTGTCTGTCTCATATATATGTCTCAAGAGCAGTCTGTGGCTAGGGATCGCATAAAACTTTAAGTCAGTGGGTACAGTAGTGGGGTGTGTGTGTGTGTGTGTGTGTGTAAGTGAAATAGGCATCAGAACCCTGGAGGCTGTGCCCCCCCAGACACACCCTCACCCGCTCGTGTCAGTTTGTCCCTGGGCGCTCCTGGGCACGCACACCCCTACAGTTGCTCCCTGTTTTGGGTCCACCTCTTCCCGCCCATCCGTATCAACCCCTGCCTTCCTACCCATGCTATCTCCTGCCTCTCTCCCCTGCCGTATTTTCTTCCATACCTCTTCATACCTCCTAAAAGCATTTTATTGGCCCCTGCATTTATTTGACTCCCTCAAATCAAGCAGAAGCTTCTTGAAAGTCCAAACCCTTGATCCTCTGCTAGTCCCTAGTGCCTGGGGCCACATGTGACCCAGAGCAGCCCTTGGTAAATATCTGCACAGCGGGGTCATTTGTCACAACCAGTTGCAGTGGTGGAGTACATGCAGCTTGTCCTGCCTGTCCTCATCATGACAGCATGCATATCATGGCCAGCATGTCCTTTGGTGCGGCATGTGACCTGTCAACTCTGCCCCACTCAGAACTTGCTTTCCCTGTAGGTAGAAGCGGCAAAGAAGGCCTACCATGCAGCCTGCAAAGAAGAGAAGTTGGCCATCTCACGAGAAGCCAACAGCAAGTCAGACCCATCACTCAACCCGGAGCAGCTCAAGAAATTGCAAGATAAAATAGAAAAGTGCAAGCAGGATGTTCTAAAGGTAAATCAGGCTTGTCAGTGTGGCAGTGCAGCACTTGCTCATGTGTCGAGCACTTAAACCTCTGGCAACTGCTTGTCTGGGTGGCTGCACAGGAGGGCAGACGTGAAGACGTCCCTGCCCTTGGGGCCATGCACACAGCACCTTAGCGCCTGCCTTTGTCACAGCCATTATGCCTGCCTTTGATGAGGGGCAGAGCCAAAAGTAGGGGCGGCAGGGGGGCAGGTGACCCTCGTGCTCAGAGGAGCAATGTGGTGCATGTGGCTCCCCAGGGAGCCTTGGAGGAAGCTTGGGTTGCTGCAAGGAGCCCCTTGTGCAGCGCTCTAGGTGGGAATGTCCTTGGAGGGTGCAGGCCGCCTCTCCTGTGAATCAGTGAAGGTGCTCTGGGAACTTTATATGCGCTCTATGTGGCAATTTCCTGAGTGACAATGACACTGCTCAGCACTCAGCCTCAGTACTCAGCCTGGGCTGGGGTTGGACCAGGTGCAGCACAATCAGCACAGAACCAAGGCAGGAGCATTCACTTGGTGGCCATCTTCAAGCTTGCAGGTGGCACTACGTCTCAAGGCTGAGCTGGACTCTGCACAGGCATCAGGGTAGTGGCATGGGCAGTACTGATGGTGCAACTGAAGAACCACCAGGGCTGTGGAGCTCTTTTCCCATGCTCACGGCAAAGGCCAGTGGGGCCATCTGAGAGGACACAGAGGGCAGCAAAAACCATAGGCGCAGAAGGGGCAGGCACAGGGCTGAGGCTCCTGGGAGTGGTAAGATCATCCTCAAGAAGCTGGGAAGGCTTCAAAAAAGGGGCTCCTGGGGCACCAGAGAGTGCACAGTGACCAGGGCAAGGTGGGAGAGAGAACTCGGGGCCCAGGGGAATGGAGATGTTCAGAGCCCCCAACCTCAGGGAGAGCCTGGTCCTTCCTCAGGAGACCCTGTTGGAGAATAGAGTTCTTAGGTGCTTCCCCAGATGTGCGCTCATTTCGTAGGGTCTTATAATGGAAGGCCTTTTAATAAAGAGGTGACCCTAGGCCTCTGTCACCCCCAAACCACCAGGCCTGTGGAGCAGTGGGCTACTGGGCCACAGAGGAAAGGGCACACAGTAGTCTGTGGGTGTCATTGGCCAGAGCCCATCCTGTCAGCCACACACTTCAGCCACTTCTTAGGGATTGCAGGTGTTTCTCAGCTGTCCCTGGACTCTTGACATAGGCAATGTTGTTCTTCATAAGTCTTGCCTCATAAAAGCCTTCTCGGGAACAGTTGGGTCAGCTGTGGCAAGGCATCCTGGAGGACAGGGATGAGCACCTTGCAGCTGCCTGCTTCATATGGCAGTAGCCTTTCGTTTATAATCTCTTGACTGTTCTGACAAAGACAGGAAGTTGCCACGAAAATTCGCAGCACTCTGGGATTCAAGCCCAGCCACACCTGGCACTTAAAGCTGTGCCCTTGTTTCTGAGGTGACCTTGAGCTGCTCCTGCTGAGGCAGGTCTTGGGCTCCACACTGCACAGAGTTCTAGGGTGGCTACCCCTCCCCCACTCCCCATGTGGCCTCACTCATAGGTGGCAGCAGTGTGGCTCTCCTGCAGAAGCACAGGGCTGAGGCTGAAGTCTCTGACTGCAAAGCTCTTATTCTGCATTTGGAATCCGGGTGGGAGATGCTGAGAAGCCACAGGGCAGATGGGTGACATGGGAGTAGGCTGAATCTCTGTCTCTGCCCAAATTTGCGCTTAGACCAAGGACAAGTACGAGAAGGCCCTGAAGGAGCTGGACCAGGCCACGCCCCAGTACATGGAGAACATGGAGCAGGTATTTGAACAGTGCCAGCAGTTTGAGGAAAAGCGACTGCGCTTCTTCCGGGAGGTTCTCTTGGAGGTTCAGAAGCACCTGGACCTGTCGAACTCAGCCAGGTAAGATTTCCCATCACATCAGAGGCAGGTTGCTGTTCAATGACTGAGTGGCACTTGGTACTGCTCGGAAGGCCTCAGGTGACATATTGTCAGAGCTCTCCCAGGTGCTGTGCTGAGCCCACCTGACCTGGTGCAGGGCAGCCAGCTGGGGCAGTGGCCTGTGGCCTGGTAAGTCACAGTAGGCCAGCTGGTAGCTTCCTGGGCAAATACAGTGGGCATGTACTGGGTCCAGGCAGGAAGTGGGGCTGCAAGTTCTGAGAATCGCTAGGAGCAGCCACAGCGAGTGGATCTGAAATCTTCCTGGAAGAGACTGCCCTGCCCCAGTAGTCCTTCTCGTCCTTGCTGCCTGCTTGGCCTTGATTCCCAGGGGTCCCAGACACCACGGGAAACCCAGCCCTGTGAGATTTGGCTCCACATTGGCCAACCACTTCTGTGCTGTCCTCAGCTTTGGTCCCAAGGTCCCCATATGAGACTTGAGGTCTGTACTGACAAGGGCACAGACAGAAGTCTGCTTCTGTCCATGCGGCAGAACTGTTGAAAAATAAATCATGGGTTAAGACCTAATGTTGTCATCTGTATAAAAGAAATGAAAGCAATAATTATCACACAGCTACTCTGCCACCATTAATGTTTAGGACGTTTTGTAAAGGAGGCCGCATTGCTCCTACTGATGAGGAAATTGAGGCTGGGTGAGGTTTGATGACCTGCCTGCTGCACTGCACAGCTGGCAAGGGACTGGGCTGGGACTGCGGCCAGCTCTTCTGTGTACGGTGACCCCCCCCTCCCATGGGTAGGCACATTTGTCTAGGATGGGGAGCCACCCTAGGCCGGGCGCTGTTGCTTCCTAGGACAAAGTCCTAACATCTTGGCAGCTGTAAACTACAGACATTTCCGTCTCACAGTTCTACCAGAAGTCCAGACTCAAGGAGTGAGCTGGGCCAGGCCACACTCCCAACCCTAAGGCTCCTGGTGTCCTCTGCCTCCTCAACTTCCCTATCACGTCCCAGCCCCTGGCCATCCCTCTCCTGCTATCATACCGTGGTCCCTGTGTGTGTATGTGTGTCTCATCCAGATTTCTGTCTTCCTTCCTCCCTCCCTGTTTACTTTGGTATTGGGCTTGCACCCAGGGCCCTTGGACTGAGCTATAGCTCCACCCACCCTGTTTTCTTTCTTTTTTTTTTCAAAATTTTATTGATAAACAGCAATGAGACAGTTTCAAATCAAATCGGAAGTGCAGTTTCAACAAATAATACACTGCAGGGGGCCTGCCCCTTAGCTCAGTTCTTTAAGTGGCTGCTTCAACAAAGCTGTCAGGCTCAGGTTGCTGTGGTTCAGTCCCCACAACTCAAGCCAGCCAGTCATGCCTTGAAGGCATTCGGAGCAAAATAATAATAATAATAATAATAATAATAATAATACACTGCATATATTCTTCTTAGTGGTTAATTGCTGTACAAGATGCGGACTTGAGATCCTATTTACAAACACCATTAGAACAAATCATTCTATTCATTAAGAGAATGCAACTATATATCTATCCTAACCACTTTGAATACACAGATACAAAATGGACATTAATAGTTATACCCCAATTTTTTTTAAGTTCCGTTGTTGAATATTATAGGTGTGTAAACTCAGCAAAATATTCTAAAAGAGTCCAGTAGTCCATAATATCATTGGGTCTTCTGTTTAACTGGCAATGTCAGAAATTATTGACCTGAGTCCCCCACAGCTCAACATAACAACATGGCTTTACTTCCTATATTTCATCTTCGTACTTTTCTACTGGATGGTTAAGACCTAGGTAAAGCAGGACCTGTGCAACAAGAGTTGTAGCTTTTTGGTCTGAGAAGGTCAGTGAAATGCCCTCAGGATTTATCCTGAGACCCTGTTTTCTTTTGAAGTCTTCTAAGTTGCCTGGGCTGGCTCTAGGCAGGAGGGGTTGGGGGCTTCTGACACTGTACAGTTGTCCCTTCCTTGACTCTGCCTGACTCAGTAGGACCCACGGTGGTGCGTATGGCTCACATGCACTGTCAGGCAGCACAGAGCTGCCCCTCTGTGCGTGCAGCCTGCAGGTCCTGAGGCAGCGGGTTCCTGATCTGTCTGGAAAGTAGATGCGTGTGGGCTGCATGTGGGGCCTGAGGTTGGTGGCACCAGGACCAGGCTAGGATGAATATTAGCTGGTCCCTGCCTCCCACAAAGCCATGGTTCTTCCTCTGATTTAGCTATAAAACCATTTACCGCGACTTGGAACAGAGCATCAAAGCGGCTGATGCGGTGGAAGACCTGAGGTGGTTCCGAGCCAACCACGGGCCAGGCATGGCCATGAACTGGCCACAGTTTGAGGTAAGAGAGGTGCTGCACCCGTAACCCCATCCCTGAGAGCTGTGCATCCCAACCTCTGTCTCATTGTTTGCCCTGCTACTGGACAGTCGGTGTGCACAGCTGAGGTATTGACGGGTTGAATGTGCCTCAGGCCTGTTAATCTCCATGGAAGGTGCAGGTATGCACTTCCTCCTCGGCAACACCAACTGTCACCTGCTGACTTTTGGTACCCCCTTCCCTATGTCTTAGCAAGTTTCTGGAGCTTAAGTTCACCTCACCAGCACCCCTGCTCCTAAGGAGCTGAGGGAGGCATTGTTCCTCACCCACTGGGAGTTCTCTGTTAGCTTGAGCAGAACACCTAGTGAATCTTGGTTTAGGGCAAGTTGTCCTTTTCCTCTTTCGTGAATCTGACCCTTTTAGTATCTTTACCTTGTAGATTGAGGGTCTGATGCTCTTGGAATTGGTCCAACCTAGGCTTGGATCACAAGGCCCCATATGGCCCCTGAAAACAAGGTAGGAGTCAGTGGCCAGGGGTCTCACCACCCCTGTTCTTACAGGAGGGAGTCTGGCTCAGCATGTGGGACTGGCTGAGCAGTGGTGTTGGTTGCCTCAGTTGAGCCCTGGGAAGGGCCCTGTGAGCTGTGACCAGTGCCTTCCCCAGGAAGAGTCCCTCTGCCCAAGGATGGCTTTGTGGCGTCACTGGGCTTAAGGGTAGCTCCAGGCTCCCACCTCAGCAACTGCGGAATTCAAGCAAACCCTGTATCCTTTATATGGCCCCCTCCTCCTGGTGTAAACCCAGAACGGCACCCACTGGTTGGGCCAGGGTGGTGGCCTGGTCCACGCTGAGCCATCAGCCCAGCTCTGGGTCTTCAGTGGTGACTATTGCTAGACTGACTGCTGCCAGGCCCCCCAACACGGCTCCTTGGCCCCTTCTCTGCCTATAGTTGTGTCACTCCTCACTCCTGAGCTCCAGACCTCCCAAGGTCTGCAAGTGACAGCTGGTTCCCTGTAGCTGAGAGTGCCCTGCACCACCCAACACTGCCCAGCAGGGGGCGAGGGGCAGGTAGTGCTCCTTCCGCTGGGCCCAGGAGGCAGTAGGGGTGAGGCCTTCCTGACTAGAGGTGGCTCTGCACACACGTGCAGACGGGTGTGCTCAGCTGGAATACTGGGCGTGAGGGCACTTCAGCCTGTAGATGTTCGCTGGGACCCTAAAGGTGAAATTCCCCTGGGTCCCGCAGAAATGCCTGCTAATGCCCAGCAAGGGGAACCATGCGGAGGCTCCCTGGGGGAGGGTCCTGGCTGTACCCCCCAGGTTTCTTGTCTCTGAGTCACTGGCAGGAGCCAGTGCCTGCGTGTCCCTTGTGCACACATTTGCTGTTGATGCAGGGCCTTGCCTGATTTTCTCTAATGAAATTATTTGTTTTTGTTTTTTCCATGCCACAAGGATGAAGTAAGTGTCTGTTTTACAGCTAACTTGTGGGTGTCCTTGGCCCATACCCTGAGGCGGGGCAGTCTCTGTTCTGCAGCAGAGCAGTGGGGCAGCACTGTCAGGGCTGCCCGGGAAGGACGGCCCTTCCGTCTGCGGTAGCTGATGCTGGGCCCATCAGTCCACGGAAGCCTCGTGGTTGGGTGGATCTGTACTCACAGGTGACCAAGAGGAATAATTTAAAAGGTGACCTGGATTTGGAGTCAGGGCCCAGATCTGCCACCCACCTTGCGGGGCCAGTCTCTTGTCCTTCCTGGGCCTCAGTTTCCGTCTCTGACAAATTGACAGATTCAACCTGATGTTTCTAAGATGACTCTGATCTTGAGGTTCTGTTACAAGTGGGAGCAGTGCTGCAGACAGTGACCCTGGGTTTTAGTTAAGCTGTCTGAGAAGTAAGAAGCGAGGGAGGGAGCCCTTACTAAGGGCCTGTACGCACAGGGTGCGCATGCGCCTGCACATGCTAGGAGAGCCAGCATCTTCGCTGTGGCCGAAAGAGGAGCTTCAGCTTTCAGCAGAGTTGTTGAAGCCTGTTCTGTGCTGGGAAGATGGCGGAGCCTGGGGAGATACACCGATGCTCTGCCCAGCTAGCACCCAGCATGCCACTCGGGTTGAAAAGGAAAGGCTTTTGGGGGGAAGGGATCAGAGCCCTGTATATAACACTCTGGTGGTGTCCAGACCACCCAGACCCTCACATTCAGTTTGCCAAGTACGCAGGTCCCTGTAGCCCACTGTCACCACCGTGACCCAGAACTCAGGCTGTATGCAGGGAAGACCCTCAGTACTTCAGTGCCCTGGCCAGCCTTTCCAGCACACTGGATCCTGTTGGCCTAGAACATCTGCTCTGTCCCGGACAGCCCCAGCTTGGACACCTCACCTGGCAGATTCCCTGGTGCCAGGACTCCCCCCACCCCAACCCCAGGATACCTGGTGAGGCTGCTGGGACCCATGAAGGCCTGAAGGGTCTAGAAGCCGGGCACCACCGTGCACAGGGATGGGACTCGGGCCCCTGGCCCACAACACAGGACACTGAGCGCCAGCCCTGTTCTGTTGTGCCCCATGTCTGGGGAAATCTGCTTCTCTCAGGAGGCAGAGCTGCCCCAGATATAGACCTCGGGCTGTGCAGGTGCTGAGCTCCATGCCTGCTCGGGAGTCCCCCTTTGAGCTATGAGGAGGAATCCAGGGGAGTTGCATCCACAGGTGGTTGTAGAGGAGCCTGAGGTCACCTGGGAAGCAGGGAGCTCAGAGGCCATGAGGCTGAGTGCACTGACTGCACAGGGCAGAGGACCTCTGACATCTACCCCGGAAACATCCTTATATCCCCCGCTCAACCCTTGTTACCCAGGAGTGGTCTGCAGACCTGAATCGAACTCTCAGCCGGAGGGAGAAGAAGAAGGCTGCTGATGGTGTGACCCTGACAGGGATCAGCCAGACAGGTGACCAAGCTGTCCCGAACAAGGCCGGCAGGTGAGCGCTGGATGCAGCCTCTATCCACAGGGCATGGGCCACGGGCTATCCCCTGCTCATCTGCTCTGTCCCGGACAGCACCAGCTTGGACACCTCACTTGGTAGATTCCCTGGTGCCAGGACTTCCCCCACCCCACCTCCAGCATCTTTCCCAAAGATCACTGGGCCCCAAGCTCTGGTTGTGGCTCCAGGGCATCTCTTAAGGCCCTCTTTCTGCCTGGTGCCGCAGCTGCTTGAGATTAGAGAGGGAGCCTTTACCACAAGCCAGCCCCCGGCCTGGGAGAGGCCACACCGGGATGGGGGCTGCACAGATGTCCCCCTGATGCTGCACGGCATGGACAGCTGGGCCCAGGTGCTGCCCGGCTGGGGCCTTCGTCCTCCCTCCCGTGCTGTTTCAGTGCTGGGTGTGAGCCATCAGGGTCTACAGGGTCCCACTACTAGATCATCCTCCTAGTGATTCTCCTGTTTTCAGCCTCCCAAGCCCTGGGATTACAGGTGTGCACCACCATGCCCAGTCTCAATTGCCATCTCAGCATGCCCCAGGGGCAGGGCCTGCACAGCATGCGGGGTATCAAACCCAGGCTGCTGCACTCTGCCTAAGCAGGCACTTCAGTCTGCTGAGCTATCTGGCTGGCCCTACATGTCCCTTTTTAAATCATACCCTTGCTAAGCAAGTTGCTTATTTCTGACTTAGATGTTGTCTAAATGCAAAATGTGGTTAGGAAGGGTGATACTGTCCTCATTAGAACCTTCTGGAGAGTATGTGCTACTGCAGGCCTTCCATGCTTAGTCATGAGCTGCTGGTGACAAGACTACCTAGGGGATCCTGTAATCGCAGCCACTAAGCCTCCGGCCTCCTGGAACATGTGTAGCAAGTGATGGCTCGGTTGCCATGTGCACAGTCAGAACGGGGGTTCAGATGTGCTGCTTCTGTGGGCATAAGTAGGCTGCACCTGTGGCCTCTCAGTCCTCCTTCCCTGCTCAGGCACGGCAGATCCCTAGGCTTAGAGTGCCCGCTCCCCAGGCCCGGCTGCAGAAATGAGAGGCTGTTCATCAGCCCAGAGTTCTCTGCGGGCTGTCAGTCTTGACGTACCGTCTTGCTATGGCCCAGTACCGCTTCATGCCTGCTCCCCTTCCTCCCGTGCCCAGGCTGCCGGCCTCTCCCTGTCACCTCAGGCCTTGTACCCCAGAGGAAGCAGTTGGAGGTGTGAGGATGGACTGGGCCTCTAGGACCCAAGGGTCCTCCCTGGAAAAGGCCATGCAGCAAGCCTGTCCCTGATGTGGGAGCTCAGGAGCCCTATGCTGAGCCCTTCGGCACCTGAAGGCTGGAATCAGCGCTGTGTGCCAAGAGCACTTGGGCGCTGGCTCTTACATGACACGGTGCTCCACAGGGCAGAGGGCAGGGGACATGCAGAAGGCACGAGCTGGGGGCCACTGCCACACCTCTGGGCCCCACCCCGCATTGACATAAGGGAAGAAGGGAAGCTGCTTCTCTTTGGATGCCTGAAACACTGAAGAGCCAAAGCGTAGGAGTGTGTCTTGCAGAACCCACGCCTAGGCACGCTCCTCTCCACTCAGAGGGAGCTGTGGTCCCTGGACGTGCCGGCGCTGAGATGCTCCGCTGGGAGTCCCCAGGACCCACACCAGGCCCCACCCAGGGTCCCTGAACGCTCTCTCTCTCCTCGTAGCAACCTTAGTGTCCCGAGCAACCCCGTCCAGCCTGCCCAGTCACAGTCCAGCTACAACCCTTTTGAAGATGAGGACGACACAGGCAGCACCGTCAGCGAGAAGGAGGACATTAAGACCAAAAAGTTGGTGAACGCACGCTTCCCTCTGACTTCCTCCTTGCTCGCTCAGCGTCTCCTTCTGTCTGTGCAGAGGCTTCTCGGGGTCCTATCCTGTCCCACCCCCAGGCATGTAGCAGAGCCTGCAAGAGGGCACACGCTGATGCCCACTGCGGACCACTTCCGGCTTCTACACTTCTCAGGGAGGGCACAGCTAACGCTCTGGTGCTGTTTCTCTGTCCTGATAACCCTTCAGGTGCCGCCAAAGGAGGACACTGCAGTCTGTGTGGGGCTCACGCCTGCAGGCGCTGTCGTGGGGAGTCCTGGTGGGCTTGGGGTGCACGTGAGGGCCTGCATCCTTACAGGTCTCCCGCGAGGAGGAAGCGCCTGGACACCACTGGGCGGAAGCTCTGGCAGGCCTCTGCCCGGGGCGCCCGCTCAGGCCTGTCCGCCCTGTTGCAGTGTGAGCAGCCGTGAGAAGGCCCAGAGCTACCCCGCTGACTGGTCCGACGACGAGTCCAACAACCCCTTCTCCTCCACGGAGGCCAACGGCGACTCCAACCCATTCGATGAGGATGCTGCCTCGGGGACAGAAGTACGGGTCCGGGCCCTGTACGACTATGAGGGGCAGGAACATGATGAGCTGAGCTTCAAGGCAGGTAGGTGGACTCCTTGGTGTCCCTGAGGGGTGAGGCTTCCGGGCTGTGGGGGATTGGGGCCCCTTCATTTGCAAAATCTGGTGAAAGTCCTGCAAGCCTCTCCTGTGGGTGCACTCTGTGACTCTTTCTCCTTTGGTTTCAAAAGCAGCAGTACGCCTTCCTGCTCTGCCCATCCACGGGGGCCACATCCTCCAGGGTCACTGAGACAGAGCCACTGGCACAAAGGCTGCAGCCTGGCACGGGGTTCATTGGGGTTAGGGTGCCCCTGCTCCTCCACCAGGGATGCAGACCCTCTGTGGGCCCAGCAACACATTCCATGGGGCCCCCAAAGGCACAGGCTCAGCACCCCCAACTTAGATCCGCCCTTTTTTATCTTGCAGGTGATGAGCTGACCAAGATAGAGGATGAGGATGAGCAGGGGTGGTGCAAAGGCCGCTTGGACAGTGGGCAGGTCGGCCTGTATCCTGCCAACTACGTGGAGGCCATCCAGTGACAGGCTGTGGGCAGGCCGGCCCCGGAGCTCCGTTAGCCTGGGCCTGGTCAGTGGGGGTCCTTCTAGCCCTGTGACATCCCCTCTACCTGCACAAGGCACCGGCCTCCTTGAGCTTGCTTTCGGGTATGCTTGGAAGGCAGAGGAGCTGGTCGTTTCACCCGGGTCTTGGTCCTTTCCAAGTGCATCCGGGAGCTCTGCGTGGAAGACAGCATAAGAGAGGAGCCGCCCTGCGCTGCCCAGCTCTGCCGACCTCACCTCCTCCTGGGTCAGTGTGGGCAGCACTCACTCTCCCTCCACTGATTATTGTCTCTCACCAGTCTTCTCCCTGCTAGTTAAGTAAACAAAGTATGCCATTTACTGAGTGAAGATTTTGAAGATTTTAATTTAAAGGCTATGTACAGTTACACTTTTTCACATACCTGCTCTTCTGTCCTTTGTACATAAGTTACGGCGCAGATGGCTCTGAACCGGTCTCCAGGATGATAGCTCTGCTTCCAGCTTGCTCTTCCACAGCCCAGCGGCTGCCTGGGGCAGGTGGAGGGCGGCATAGGTCCTATGGGCAGGTGACGCCTGGGGCCAGAGACTGCAGGATGTGGGGTGCACCATGCAGTGGTTTCGATGATGAATGTGGCCGGAGGAAACCTCACAGGACTCCCCAAGGTCAGCGCCTGCTGAAGTGAGTTTCACTCTATTCCTGCTTCAAACTCGACTGTCTTGCACATTCACCGTCTTACCAGCGATTGCGAGGCTAAGCGAGGCTAGCTTTCCAGGCAGATGCTTCTGTGACTAAGATGCTCTAGAGCGGGCTCTTGTGTCTGGGTGTCTCTACGTATCTGCTATTCCGAGAACCTAAGCAGTGAGCCGAGGCCCCTGGCCCTGTGGAGAGCTGTACAGTGCCATCTTTGCAATCATCACAGGCTTCACTGTCTCCAGTTCCACGTGAGCAAACAGCTTGGGTGTGGAGGGCAGCAAGGCAAAGCAGGCAGCGTGGTGACCCTGAAGGACCCAGGGCAGGAAGGGCCTGCACTGTGTTAGCTGGGACAGTGGTGTCCTCCACCAGTCGCAAGCTGCTGTGCTTTCCACCCAGTGCCTGCGGGGAGCGCCACTTCCTGGAAAGTATGAGTCAGGAACTGCCATGAACATTCCCAGTGGAAATCCTGGTCCTATGCTACAGATCTACCAACTGCTATCACATCTGCTGAGTTAATAGTTCCTTTAAGTGTATGCATCTTTGAACAGAATCAATAAACAGTCTATCTCAGGTGTGTGAAAGGCCCTTGCTGTGTGTCTGCCCTCACGCTTGCAGCAGCAGGGAGATGTCATTCCCTGAGTTATAGGCCTTGGACTTGAGAAGGGCCCCTGTCCCTGCCCCTCCAAACCAAGGGGAAGGTGTGGCCCCTGTGCCCGTTGTTTGACCTGATCTCCATGCGGCACGGGACTCCTGGGTGACACTTTCCTCACCAGCCCTAGCAGCAGAATATGACCTGTGACCCTGACCCCATAGTTCTCCCTGGAACGTATTTCCCTGGGTACCTTCTGGACACTGGGCCTGAGCTCCGCTCTACTTGTATTACCTGTGGTGCACTCCTCTCCAGGTGTCCCTGTGAGCAGGTGGAGTGTCCCTTTTCTGTTTTGCAGAGGAGGAGCCAGGTCTCCTATTGCAGAATGGTCAGCCTCCCCAAGAAGTGGACTGTGAATTTTTTTTTCTTTCTTTTTTTTTTTTTTTGGTGGAACTGGGGATTGAACTCAGCCCTTGTACTTGCCAGGCAAGTGCTTATTCTACTGAGCCATCTCCCTAGAGCCCGTGAAGTCTCAAAAGACACAAGCAGTATCTAGGGCTCTTGGAGGTTCAGAACTCTCCAGCAGAATTCAAGATTCTCCAGGGGCTAAGACAGAGAACTTCTCTGGGCAACCTGTATTTGGTTTTCAAAGGAGGGAGATACTGAAGAAAATGTGGGAACCTGAACAGGACCTTGGGAGTCGGTACAGAGACTTTCCCAAATAGCAAATTAGGAAAACTGTCTTATCTCCACGTGATGTTTACTGCAGGAGTCTAGTTAATTGGGGTCGGACCCAGGGGTCCTTACTGCGGCCTTACCTTGTCCTTTGAGGCATCACAGGCCGCTCCAGGCCTCAGCTGGGCCTGAGATTATGATCGTAGAGGTTCACTTCCTAGGAATCCACTGCCCATCTCCAGACAAGGGGCCTGGCACAGACTCACAGTAAACATAGCCAGTTGGTGGATTTTAAATCCTGCTCAGAGCTGCTTTGCAGTGGTCTCAGCCTCCTGAATCCATAGCTGCCCAAGGATCCCAGCCACTGAGAAGCCCATCCTAATCCTGGAGGACTGGGCAGCCCTAGGCGGCCCAAAGGGGGAGGGGCCAGGTGACGGCTGCCATGGGCACAGAGCATCCCTGAGGAGCCAGCAGGAGTAAGGTACACCGCTGCCCTGGCCGCATCTGCCCGCAGGCCAAGGCAGAGCCACATCTTGGCCATCCAGCCTTGTCACAGGCGTGGCAAGTCCCCTGCTCTCCTGCTCTTGAGGACAGAGCCCATCAGCAGACAACCAGCTGCCTGGTGTGGACAGTCTTCTGCCCCCACCAGCCTTGGGCTAAGAAGAGAAAAATGAGGTGGGCCAGGCAGAGGGCAGCCCCCGCAGGCACTATTATCAGGTACCTACTATGTGCCAGACTCATAATCGGACAAAGATGGAGAGCCACCGTTTCCCTTGGGGAGCTGCAGGGGGCTCAGAGGGACCCGGGTCATCCTGACACCAGGACAAGAGAGGCTAGAGGGCCTGGTGAAGGTGTGCTTGGTGGGTTCTGGAGGACTCTGGGAAACAAAGACCTGAAGGGCCAGCATTCTACCTGTCCCACTTGTCACTGAGCCATTTCCTCCCTCCAGGGCAGAGGGTGCCTAGTACTCACCTAGGCGGGAGGCCCAGCTGTCCTGGAATGGGCCTCAGCCCTAGCAGGTATCTGAGCCATTGGGGGATGGCCATGTAGAAGGACCGGGTTGTCCAGAGGCCCAGCCAGGCAGCCACCCTGGCCCATAGGTACCCCTTAAGCTCCCTTTCCCTCTCTACTCCAGCCAAGCCCTCTCCAGGCTGCCTCCCTCTGCTCCCCAGGCCCACTCTGGCCTCAACCTCCTTCAAGGAAGTTTAGGTGTGTACACTCCTTGTGTCCCTAGACACTCAGGAGGCTTGTTTCTGTCTATGGGACTTGATGCCCCCATGGGTGGGTACTGACCTTGGCTCTGTGTCCTGGGGTCCAGAGGAAAGTGGTGCCAGTGCCTGCCATGGAAGCAGGTTGAGCTGGAGTGACTGAGCCTGCAGATGCTGTACCAGGCTCTGTACCAGGCTCCTTCCCAGCCAGGAGTGGCCACCCCCAGCACGGGGTGGGGAAACCACTGCAATGAGAAATGCTTGTGTCCCCAAAAGTGTTGAAGTCCTTGCCCTAATGGTGATAACATAGCAACTGGGACCTTTGGACCATGTGTAGGTCCGGAGGGGGAAGCCCTCACAGCTGGGGTTCGTGCCCTTCTCAAAGAAGAGCTTGTCTCCACCATGTGAGAACACAGCGAGAAAGCCTTCTGTGGAGAAGCAGCTTTAGACGTGACAAATGCCTGCTGCACGTTCCTGGACTTCCAGCCTCCAGGACTTTGACACATTTCTGTTAAGAGAAAGAAACTAAATGTAAAACCATAAAGTAAAATGTTGCTGTGCATAAGCTTCCCAGTCCCAGTCCATGGCGTTTTGTCAGGACAGCCTGGAGCGGTGGAGACTCCCCAGTGTCGCTGGTGGACGGGGGCTTCCTCAGCCTGCAGTCTCCAGGCAGACTTGCACCTGCCATTCATGCTCCTCGTGCCAGGCCTGTGCTCAGCACCCGCCACCACGCATGTGCGCCATGTCATAGGTGAGGGACCTGAAGCCAGAGAGTTGGAGTGACTTGTGACGTTAGCCACAAGCGCTCCCCATGGCCCGGACTCCCAGACGTCTGTTGTCTCAGCTCCAGGGCTGCATGCCCAGCTGGTGAGTGCCTACGTGTGTTAGCCTTATACTGCCATTACAAGATACCTGAGAAAACTCAGAAAGGAGAAAAGGGTTGTTTTGACTCACAGTTTTGAAAGCCTTGGTCTTTAGTCACTTGGCAGTGGGCCAGACATAAGCTCAGCGGCACAGGCGCCTACCTGGCAAGCGTGAGGTCCTGAGCTCGACTGCTGGTACCACATAAATAAGAAGAAAGACATCAAATAACATAGTCCATTGGTTCCTTTGCTTCTGGGCACGTGGAGAGGCATAACTACATGTTAGGGAGCACGTTGATAAATGTTCATCGTCAGTCCCTTAAGGAGGTGAGAACCATCACGAGCCTTCACTTCCCCCAAACACTGCCATGCTAAAGAGGCAAGGTACAGATAAGGTGGTCACCTCGGGGCAGCCAGGGAGAAAGCCTGAGCAAAGAGAGAAAGGGGGCAAGGATGAGAACTCTCGAAGCTCACGCCCCCAGGGATCTACTCCGGCCAGCTGGACCCACCCCGATTGCCTGTTCAGCTACAGCGTTGTAGGTTAGGCCATTACAAGATCAGCACCCTCCCAAGGCCATCTCTTACCGAAAACCCCATCTTCAACCACATGATATTCCAGTTCTAAGCTTTAACATTCTAGCCCTGGCCCCCAGAAGGCTCAGAGACATCTCATGCAAAGTACAACCTCAGAGTTGCTAAAGTTTCAACTATTCCAGCTTTTCTCAGAAGTCCAAATTTAAAAAAATTCCAAGTCCAAAGTGCCTTTTGAGACCTATAGAAATTCTTAGCTATGGGGGCCTGCCCCGTAGCTCAGTTCTTTAAGTGGCTGCTTCAACAAAGCAGTCAGGCTCCGGTTGCTTTGGTTCGATCCCCACAACACAAGACAGCCAGTCATACCTTGAAGGCATTCCGGGAAAAAACAAAAACAAAAAAAAAAAAAACACTTCTGCCATCGTACAGCAATTAACCACTAAGAAGAATATATGCAGTGTATTATTTGTTGAAAAATAAAAAAAAAATTAAAAAAAAAAAAAAGAAATTCTTAGCTATGACCCCTTGTAAAAGTCAAAAAGCAAAGCCAGGTGTGTTGGCACATACCTGTATTCCAGCTCTCAGAAGACAGGCAGAAGAATCGCTGCAAGTTTGAGGGCAGCCTGGGCTACCTTGAGTTCAAAACCAGCCTGAATTATGTAGTGAGTATATACTAAGACCCTGTCTCAACCAAAACCAAGCAAGTGAACAAAACAAAAAAATTCAAAAAGCAAGTTACAGCCTGGTATGGTGCTTCATACTTAAAATCCCAGCACTCTTGGAAGCTGAGGCCAGAGGATGGCAGGTTGGAGCCCAGCCTGGACAATGGCAACTATATGAGACCATCTCTCAAAATGCAAAAAGAGGGGAGCAGGGCTAGAATTGTAGCTGGGATGGGGTTACATACTCCCAAGAGGTTAAAGCCCAGGATAAACATGCTCTTTCCAAAGGGAAAACTAAGGAAATAGAAAAGAATGGGACCAAAGCAAGTCCCAAACCCAGCAGCATAAATATTAAATTCTGTACCTCCATGACCAGTACCTGCAGCGTGGGAGGTAAGATGTGAGCTCTAAAAGGCTTGAGTGGTCCCGTGCCTGTGTTTCTGCTGGTCATAGCTGCATGACCTGTCTTGGGATGGGCTCTTGCTTCCTGTAGCTTTCCTTAGCACATTCCCCATGTTTTTGTCATTAGCAGCTTCCTAGGGTCTCCACTGCAGGTTCAGCCCCGGTTCCACAGGTCCATGTATAGTGCACTACCTGAGGAGCTCTTGACAGCAACTACAGACCAGTGATACATTGCCTGGCCTCCCAGGCCTTCTTGTGAAATCTTGGTGGAAGTCTTCATGAACTGAACCAACAACATTTGTATTCTGCATGCCTGCAAAATCAGCACATGGACAACACAAAGGTCTCCAGCCAGCTTAAGCAGTAAATTGGCCCCTTTGGACCATGGCTGCAGCAATTGCTGAGTGCCTGTACGCTTGAATTCTGGGAAATTCCCTAGGAACCCCTTAGGAAGCAAGGAAACAAGACACCCTGCGTTTCTCCTGAGAGAGGTCTTTCCAAGCAATTTAGACCTTTATAATCTTGATCCCAGGATGGGTGGGGCCTGCTAGCTCCTGAGATGCCCTAACAATGTCTGTCCTACTGTCCTGGTACAAAGTATTTGGCTACCTTCACCCAGTGGTGGAGACTGAAGGCACAGCCTTTGTACTGAG